CCTCCTTGACAGCCTCCTTGGCAGCTCTTTAAGCTTCTGTTAATACTCTCCTCTAGGCCTTTAGGTTTCACTAACAATCTCCTCAAGGTCCCGCCAACATTTCTATGCTACTTGTTCCCAAAACCAATGTGGCATGTTTTAGATTTTTGTTATGCCTGCAGGCCACTTCCAACTACCGAGTCTCTGTATTAGAGTTGGATAGAATAGCAGAATTGCTCTGAATGATGCAGAGTACGGGGTCTATTGTAGGGATTAGATCTCAGGCAATTGTGGACCTGAGAGCCAGTCTGCAAGCTATTGCCTCTGCATCTTAGTACCAGGCATGTTCTTATGTTCATGATAGAGACACACGTGGAAACACGGAGGTCTCTTTAGGCCTAAGGTTGAAACTGGCACACCTTCATTTCTGCTTCACATTTTGCCTAAAGCAAGTCATACGGACAAGCCCAAGGTCAAGAGATAGGTAAGTATGTCCCACTCACAGGGGAAAGGAAATGCAAGATCCATGACAAAAGGCATGGACATGAGGAGAAGTAAAGAATTGGACCAGTAATACTATCTGCAAGAAGAGCAAAAATGACCACTACTGCCCGTGAATTCTAGTGGCAATTGGTTTGTACCTACCTACACAGAGAGCTGTTACATTACATTGTATTACAGCTATGTAACTACATATCTCTTCTACTTACCTTTTGAGGGCGGGGACTATCTTATGTATGAATGTACTCCTATTTCTTCTAGCACGTTGCCTTGCATATAGTAGGTACTGAAAAATATTTGTTGAATTAATGAGTGAAGCCATTTCTGGGCTTCCAAGTATTGAGGCTTGTGGTGACAGTCCTGATTTGCAAAACCTTATTCAGGGAGGTTCCTTTTTGCTAGTTTTTTTCCTCATCATTATTGACTTCTACCTCCCAGGTCCCTCCTCCCTTTTTTGTTTTTCATCCTCACCCGAAGATATATATATATATATATATTTTCATTTATCTTCAGATAGAAGGAGGAAGAGAGAGAAACATCGACATGAAAGAGACACATCAAGTGGTTGCCAACCACACACAACCCCAACCAAGTTACGTGCCCTTAGCGGGAACCGAACCCGGGACTCTGGTCCATGGGACAGTGCTCTAACCGCTGAACCAAACCGGCCAGGGTTGTCCCTCCTCTTTTGTCATCTTCCCATTCCAACCCACCTTCTTGACCTACTCACATCTAGAGATGAGAGAATCTAATAAGCCAAACTACTATTGGAGGTTTGTATTTTATAATATAAACTCTGCTCCTTCAAGACAATCATTCAGTTAACAAAAATGGTGAGAGCGTGTGTGGTGAACACTATATATTGAGAAACCAAAGGGATAACTGAATATCTTCCAATGCAGATGACACATCACTCATCTGTTAAATCATAAATTTTGGACTGAATAGGACAGATAGTCGGGCCTGAAAACAGCATCATGAAATTGAAAAGAGATGACTATATATAAAGAATTACACTGAAATTCAGAATGACTGGCTGCATAAGCATAAAGCGGGGATAACTGACTTAAAGGTAGGTCATGTGGCCTTGGCCGGTTTGGTTCAGTGGTTAGAGCATCAGCCAGTGGACCAGAGAATCCTGGGTTCGGTTCCCGCTAAGGGCACGTACCTCGGTTGCAGTTTGTCCCCGGCCCTGGTTGGGGTCATGTGGGTGGCAACCACTCAATGTGTCTCTCTCACATCGATGTTTCTCTCTCTCTTCCTCCCTCTCTCCCTCCCACTCTATCTGAAGATAAATGCAAAAATGAGGATAGAAAAAAAGGTAGGTCATGTGAAAAAGCCTAGCCATGAGCCAAAAATGGGACATAATTACACATTTTAAGACTGCAGTAGTACTAATAACTGACATTCATTGAGTGGTTACTCTGAGCTATGCACTGTTCTAAGCATTTTATAAGTATTAACTCATTTTATTCTCATGAATAACCCATGGGTAAATCTAAAATCTTCCCATTTTACAGATGAAACTGAGGCCCAGAACAGATAAATAACTGATTCAGTGTCAGGTAGCCAGTAAGTGGTGGAGCTGGATTTGAGTCCAGGGCCTGATGCCGAGCTTCTCTTGCTATATCAGTTTAGGTGCCTAAAACAAAAAGCACAATAATCCTGCTCCCCTCCAACCTGGTCAGCCCATTTCTGGAGTCTTAGTGTGCGGGGACATCACAAACCAAACGTCATCCCAAGACCAGGATGTGACAGGACTTAAAACCCACTCTAATAGTTGGGAAAAACCAGGAACTTTTGCTGGAATTCTGAAAGGAACATGTCTTTCAATATTTAAATGTTGTGTGGAAGAAGAATAATTCTGTTCTGTAGCCGCGGGGAAATCACACGTTTAGGCTGACAAACATTTACGAAGTACCTATATCTGGCCAAGAACTCCACTTGAGGATGGAGAATGAGAGATAAGTGGAAGGATACACTTCCTGTCTTGGAGGAGCTGGGCTAGAGGGGTAGGGAGGCAGACCTGGGCTCCCACAGACCCTCCTGGCTAGTTCTGCTGCTGGGCAGTGTACTGGGTGTCCTTCCCCTGGAAATACATATGTAGGCCCTGGAGCCTCACCTGCCCAACAGTAGAGGGACCTTCCAGCGGATGGGAGGGTGGGTCAGGTGGCAAACCTCAGACTTGTGATGAGAATATAAACTCCAGGACCGAGGACAGTCCTGGCACACAGTGGGTGCTCAATAACTGAATATATGAAAGAATAAAGATTGAAAAAACCAGGATATGTCACATAAAAACCTGCACTTATTTGTTTTGACAAAGTGGGAGATTTGACAACAGCAGGCTGCATATTTGTGTGGAAATGAAGATTATGCCTGTGTTTAACATGCAACTGGTCCAGCTTCACTCAATTACATTGTCTATTTGGTCCCAGGACCAAAATTTGCAGCCTGTGGGCTAATCACCGAAATCTCTGCCAACTCTGTGTCTACAAAATCAAACTCTACAGTTGAAATGTGGGAGGTAGAGTTCCAACACAGAAATGTTTTCTGTCAATGGACAGATTGTATTATTTGAATATCAAGAAAATTACCTACATGACATTTTCATGGCTCTATCATATCATTCAAGGTAAATTTTATTACATTTTTAATGTTCACAAAAAAATAGATAAATTGTCCATTCTGACAGCAAGGGAACAGAATATCTTTGCTTAAATGAGAATTTTAAAAGTATATAAGCATTATATACAGTACATCTTTTTTTTTTATCATGAAGGTACTGTTTTTATTAGCTTTTAACAAACTTGTTGATGAGCGTTGTTGGTAATTGCTACATGCTAAACGAAAAATGCTGTTCCTTTAACACGTCTTCCTATAAGAAACAGACATTGTCCCCCAGATACTTGCTTCCTAATATATACAACAGATAATGAACCAAAATATTTGAGAGTTCTTGGATGACCTCTAGTTTTTTCTTTATTAATTTCCTTTCGCACTAAGATCGCTGTGAAAAAACTGTTTCAATGAATAACTTACCTCCTAGGAAAAGCAGAAAGTCCAAACAAAAAACCCAGTTTGATTCAGAACTATAACAATGCCTGCAGTAAAAACAATGTGCCTTTTTAACAGTAAAAGATTTCTCTTTTCCCAGTACCTAGAGACTGATTTCTGCATTGACTTGCTGTGCTTAGATGTGAATTATTTCCCAGGAATCAGATGTGAAACTGTTCTGATCCCTGGGAAATAATTTTCTGGAATGCAGGAAATGAGTGTGCCCAATTCTGAATTTTTACCAATAGTTGAGATAACAAAGTGTCACCAGTTGCTAGTTGTCAGAACCAATTGTTGAACTGCATCCAAGAAGCTAGGATATTGGTTCTGTGTTCTGATTTTCAGGAGGAGAACTTTATTGACTGAGAAATCAGGAGATATATACATAAAGAGATAGTCAAAATTACTCCATTTCATAGACTTAATGATCATGTAAAATAGAAACTTGCAAATACTTTTGATGTTTAAAATAAAATATTTCATATCAAGTATTAACTTCTGATGAGGTTTCTCTTTTTATCTCTACTGGGCAGGTTTCAAGATGTATTAAGCAAAACACAAATATGTACACACACACATACCCAATGTATAAATGGTGACACATATATAAAGCATTTTCCTGAGAAAGTGCAAAGACGCAAGGGAAGTTTTTAAGTGAGGCTCAGACAACCTGCCATAAAACAAAAGGTCCCCAGTGGAAGAGGTTTTTGTCGTTTGTTTCCAAAAACAAAAACAAACAAACAAACAAAGAACTGGCAATAAATAGAAACCCAACTCATGGGGTTGAATTGGCTGCTTCTGAGCTCCCTATAGCCCTAAAATTTATCATTCTATGAATTAATTCTTCCCATGATTCCTCCCATAATAAACTGTTTCTTGAAAAAAGAAGGGACCATTTGGGAAGTTGTGTATGTAAAAGAACCCAGTGCTTGAATGATGACCATGAGCATGTACCCATTAGCTAAGCAAAACTTCACCATACTGATGAGGCAGAAAGTCACTGGGGTCACTGAAAGGACAGTTGATTCATATTGTGACTCTCTAAAGTGACAGTTTTGTCATTGTTGTTAATCCTCACCCAAGGATATTTTCTCATTGATTTTCAGAGTGCAAAGGAGGGCAGTGGAGGGGCGGGGGGAACATTGATGTGAGGGAGACACATGGATTTGTTGCCTCTTGTATGACCCCAACCGGAGCCAGGAATCGAACCTGCAACCCAGTCCACAGGCCAATACTCTAACCACTGAGCAAAACCGGCCAGGGAGTGACATATTTTTCATTAAGCACCCTTCATACCTATAAGAAGCGATTTTTCTTGCCCTGTGTTTCTGTCTCCATACACAGTGGTTTTGGGGGAGGGGGACACCACTTCCCAAGTTCCTCCCCCTTCATTCCTGTCCTCTTTAAGAGATTTTAAAACCCAGAACTAAAGCAGAGTGAAAGAACAGATGAGGAGAATCAGAGAGGGCTTTAAATTCTTTTACTTTATTGGAAGCAAGTTAGAATACAGCATAATTTCTTTTGGTGTGTGAACCCTCCCACCGTGTCCTGACATAGAAAAACATACAATGCTCAATTCAATGGAGACTCTTCCACAGAAAGCATTTCCATCGAGAGAATCACAATGTTTCTGTTCCACTTGAAATGTTACATGTGTACAAATCCAGAGGTTTAAGAATCTTCAAAAGCCACAGGCACAGAGTCTAGGAAGCCGAAGGCTGTGAACTTCGCTCCTCACTCAATCCGTGCTTAATTTTGCACTCCTCACACGTAAGCAGGCAGTGCCTAGGGCAGAGGCAGAAAGAGAGGTCTGTGCTTTGACACCAGAAGGTCTAACAGGTCATCGAGAGACTTTCCTTTGCTGAAGTTCACAGGCCTAGTTTTTTAGGGAATAATAGGAGCTGTTTCTTGGTTTGAGACCACCAGAATTTCATTAAGAAAAAAAATAAAAAGGCCAATAATGATCTTTATGTCTAATGCTGTTTTTTCCACAGTGCCGTGCTGCCTCTCAAATAGAACCCACTGTGACAAGCAAGGGTCGTTAGTGAAATGTGTCCCCAACACCAGTCCTCTAGTGCTGTAGCAGAAACAGCTATTATTTACTGAGCATGTACTGAGTGTCATAAACAGTCATTTCTGTTCCTTATAACATTTCATGAGAACAATTCTGCTCACCATTTTATACAGATGAGGAAACTGAAGATTAGATAGTTTAAGGAACTTTCCCAAGATTACATCGTTTATTTAATAAGTGGTAGAATTGGTTTTCAACCCAGGTATTCTAACAGCAGAGGCAACACCTTGAACTCCACAGTCCTACTGCTTAACATTCCCTAATGAGAATCATGATCTATATTAACACAGTAAAGGTTCTGAAAAGTCCTGCAGTATAGAAACTTGTTTAAATTTGGTGTAACCCTGTGGTAGTAGAAGCCACGTCTGCTGATTAAGGTATTCTTTTGAGACGTGCACAATACCTTGAACGTAACAGATACCCACTAAATGTTTGTTAAGCAAATGAAATAGGTAACTAAGTTAAATAATAAGGAATTATTACTGAAGTCGAATAGCAACACTTAAAATTTGTGGTTTAAAGAGGTTTTTTCCAACATATGAATGTTAAGAAAAACTGTTTAATATTATAAACGGTGAATGATTTTTTATTTACCTTTTCATAATTGTCTTCATTATACTCCCTCAATCAAACGGATTACAAACCTGTTATGCCCTGGACCGAAACCAGCCCCACGAAGCTGATCGTCAAAGGAATGAAATTTACTCTGGCATGCTCCTATGTATGATGCCTTTCCAAGGCCATATCCCAGGATACCAGCAACTGTAAAAGCAGGTTAGGAAAGATATAAAGTTTCAGAATCTCTTCCATTAGTTATCATCTAGAATTCTCTTTACTAATAGTAGTAAATTTAATATTAAAATGGTAATATCAAAAGTACCATGATAAATCAGTGAACAAACACTCCGAGAATGTAGCTCCCTGTTAAAGAGCAGCGTTAGGAACTGGAGACTTTCTGACTGTTTTGAACTGATGGTAGAAGGGCCATCCAGGACAGAGCAAGCAAAGGTGTGACCCCAAGAGCCAGGCCGCCTGAGGGAGGCCCAGCCAGCACACACATGTCTGAGGCCACAGGGGGAGGGGAGACAGAGGGGGAGGTTTGGGTTGTGGCTATAGGTAGCCTTCAGATCAGTGGGTAGGAAATTCTCTTTATGGATTGGAGTTTGGGGAGCTGTAGTCCGTCCTGCCTGGAAAGGAGAGCGGTCCAAGGCAGAGGAAACCTCCCGGAAATCTCCAACCTGTTCCTCCTGCTGGGAATGAAATTTCAGAATGTGAATGGACAGCGACCTCTTGTACATAACAGGTCTATGTGCTACGAGTGGAAGAAGAAACCTTGAGTTTGTGGTCGGTGTATTATCACAAAGTCCCTGATTTTTAAAAATTATTTGTTTATTATGTTCACTATAGAAAATATTTTGAAAAGACTGGCCAAAGGAAGAAAATTGAAGGCCCTAATGCAGCTGTCACTCCGAGGTTCTGCTGCAGACACCCCCGTGGACCCTGCCAGGCGCCCCCGGTCCCTGCTCCCAAGAGGACTAGGGTGAGGTCCCTGTTGCTCAGTTAGATACAGAAGTGCTGAATGAACTACGAACTGTAAAGTGGCGAAAAATAAAGACTGGTTTTTCAGAAGGTCAACGCAGGTACTTTGGTTAAACCCGGACATTTGCATCTCCAGCGGCTATACATGTCTTCTTCTTAAAAAATAATGTTTTTATTTTATTTTATTTTTTTGAGAACAAATCCATTTTATTTACTTTTCAATAAATTTAAATCCTTGAGGGGTACAGCATTACACGAATTCTGTGTCCAATGGCCTTAGCAGGAAGGTTGCTTCGGAATTTAGCACGAACCATGCCACTATTTCCATGAGCACGAGTTACCTTTCCCCAGATTACTCTGGTTTTGTTTGGTTTGCCACCAGGAGTCACTGTGTTGTTCTTTGCTTTGTACACATAAGCACATCTCTTGCCCAGATAGCATTCAGTTTCATCTCGAGCATAAACACCTTTAGTTTTAAGAAGAGCTATGTGTTTATAACTGGCAAAAACGGCCTTGGACCACAGCCTTCCAGACATATTTGTCCTTATAGAGGTCGTGTTCCCAGCAGGCCTCCACAGGGTCCAAGATGGCAGAAAAAGCAATAATGTTTTTATTTGACTTCTATGACTTACGTGCAACTTTAGGCAATGATCCAAATCTTGGGTTAGCTGCTAAATAACCTAAGGAGTAATATATATGTTATTATTTCATTTTATTACTTATTTAAATTTATAAAGTATAAGGAAATCTTCAAAGTGTAAGATAGATGCAGATTTTTTTTTTAAATCTCACATGAGGATACTTTTAAAATTGATTTTAGAGATAGAGTAAGGGAGAGAGAGAGAGAAATATCAATCAGTTGCCTCCAACCAACTGAGCAACTTGGCCAGGGCTATGCAGATTCTTAATCAGAAGGGATGACCTTAGAAGAGTTATAATTCAATTCTTTTTTTTTTAATCCTCACCCTAGGACATTTTTCCTTTTTTTTTTTTAGATAGAGTGGGAGGGAGAGAGAGAGAGAAACATCGACGTGAAAGGGACACATCAAGTGGCTGCTACCCGCACGACCCAACCAGGGCCAGGGACAAACTGCAACCGAGGTATGTACCCTTAGCGGGAACCGAACCCGGGTCTCTCTGGACCATAGGCCGACGCTCTAACCGCTGAGCTATACCGGCCAGGGCTATAATTCAATTCTTGATTGAATTTAACTCTCAAACAGCCATTGTGGCCAAGTAGCAAGTGTTAGCTTTAATGTGTAGAAGAAAGAACATGAAGCAGACAATTCAAGACTTGTTTAAAGATATCAAGGCAAAGGTGGAGCCAACAACTTATTTCCAAGCAATTAGTCACACACCCTCTTCTTTTTATGAGACTCAACACAGAAATTCAACTTAAGGATTAAAAGTATCCGTCATATCTCACTGAACAACGGGGATAACGTTATAAGAAATGCATCATTAGGTGATCTCATCATTATGTGAACATCATAAAGGGCCCTTACACAAATCTGGATAGTATAGCCTTCTGCACACCTAAGCTGTGTGGTATATGGTAGTGCTCCCAGGCTACAAGCCTGTACAGCACGTTACTGTACAAAACAACACTAAATTAAATCAAGCTCAAAAGAAAGTGATGCAAACGAGACACAGTAGACACGAGACATCTGAGGCTGCTGCTGGCACAGCACAGCTTACTGTTTTACAGCAAAATTTTAAAAACATGTACGTTTTTATGGATTTTTTTAGAGAGAGAGGAAGGGAGAGAAAGATAGAAATATTCATGCAAAAGAGAAACATCTATCGGCTGCCTCCTGCACGCCCCCTACTGGGGATCGAGCCCGTAACCCAGCATGTGCCCTGACCGGGAATCAAATCTGGACCTCTCGGTCCATAGGATGATGCTCAGTCCACTGAGCCACACTGGCCAGGCTACAGTAAACTTTTTAAATAAGTAGACAAGGACACTAAAATAGCAATGAAAAGTATAGTATAGTAATTACACAAACCAGTAACAGTTGTTTATTATCATTATCAGTATTATGTACTGTAGAGTTGTGTGTGCTATACTTTTCTATGACTAGCAGCAGTAGGCGTGTTTACACCAGCGTCACCTCAAGCACGTGAGAAATGCCTTGCGCTTCAACATTATCATGGCTCTGACATCACAAGTCTGCAGACATTTTTCTGCTTCATTATAATCTTATGGGAGCATCATTGTACATGCAGTCTGTCACTGACCCAAACATTGCTATTTGACACATGACTGTATACATACCACAATTTAAAAATAGGCAGAATAATGGCCTCCTAAAGATGTCCATATCCCAAACTGAAAACTGTGAATAAGTTATATTGTATAACAAAGGGGAATGATGGTAGAAAATGGAATTAAGGTTAATCAAATGACTTTAAAATAAAAAGATTATCCTGGGGCCCGGCCGGTGTGGCTCAGTGGTTGAGCGTCGACCCATGCACCAAGAGGTCACCGGTTTGATTCCTGGTCAGGACACATGCCCAGGTTGTGGGCTTGATCCCCAGTGGAGGGCATACAGGAGGCGGCCAATGGATGTTCTCTCTCACTGATGTTTCTATCTCTCTCCCTCTCCCTTCCCCTCTCTCTAAAAATCAATGAAGAAAAAAGACAAAGTTATTGAGACTTAATATATATATATATATATATATATATATATATATATATATAATCCTGGGTCACTTGGTTGGGCCCAATGTAATCACAATGACCCTTGAATGTAGAAGAGGGGTTCAGAGACAGAACCGGATGGCAGTATGAGAAGTGTGGGTGGTCTTTAGCAGCTGGAAAGGGAAATAGCCCGTCAGCTCTGCTGACAAGTTGATTTCAGACCAGTGAGATCCAATTTGGACTTCTAACCTCCAGAACTGTAAGATAATACATTTGCATTATTGTAAGTCACTTTGCTGTGGTAATTTGTTGTAGTAGTTGTAGAAACCTAATACACAATCCTGGAAAAGTATATATGTGCAGAGATGATAGATTTTGAGAAGTTTAATGTTTATAAAACGTAATCCTTATAAATGTCGTGACCATATTCCTTTGCTGTTAAAAATGGTCTGACAGAGACTTATTACTGATTGATGAATATATTTCTATAAAAAGGCTGTCTTTTAAGTTATCAAAATGAAGTGATATTTAATAAATCAACTTAATATTGATTGAAATGGATTCTCCTAGATAAATGGTCTTTGAGACGCCCCCCCCCCAAAAAAAACCCTAGAACATCTTCTCTCATGTTTGCTGGGTACAAATATTCTTTTTAAAAACCTAGTCATCAGCAGTGTTCAATATAATGGGTTTCAACAGGGTCAGATGCCTTCTCGCTGTTTGCGGACTAGACAGTGCCAAGGGTTCTCTGGTGAGATGGAGACAGGAAAGAGCAAGAAAGGAAGAATGGAGAGGTAAACTGGACAGCTGAGTGGCAGGGAGAGGTTATGTGGGAGATGCAGGGTGCCTAGTCCTCACGTTCTGCTGTACAGATCAGACAGGGCGCCCTTCCTCAGGCAAGTGCAGCCTCTCACCGGGGCAAACGGCTTGGTGGACGTCAGCCCCACTCACCTCTACCCCGGAGCATCCTTGTGCGGGGAACAATCTGTCTAACACACACTGAGCCCCTGGGAGACACAGGGACTCTGGTGCAGAGAAAGGCACTGTATTAGTTCCCTGCGGCTGCTGTAACAACTTAGCAAAGCTTGGAGACTTAAAACAACACAAATTTGTAAGCTTACAGTTCTGGAGGTCAGAAGCTCAAAATGGATTTCACTGGGTGTCTGAGCTGCTACAAGATTGGGCGGAGGTGGGGCTGCTTATAAATGACAGACATTTATTTCTCATAGCACTGGAGGTTCAAGTCCAAGATCAGGGTGTCAGCATGGCTGGTGAGGCCCCTCTCTGGTGTGTGTGTGTGTGTGTGTGTGTGTGTGTGTGTGTGTGTGGTGGAGAAGGCTAGGGAGCTCTGTGAGGTCTCTTCTGTAAGAGCACTACCCTTCTTGAAGGCTCCACCCTCCTGGGCTAATTACCTCCCAAAGGCTTACCTCCTCCCACCACCACCGTTTTGGGTTAGGCTTTTAACACGTGAACTGGGGGGAAGGGTACAAACATTCAGACCTTAGCAGTGGGCTAAAAGCAAGGTGCCAGCAGGGCTGCATTCCCTTCTGGAGGCTCTAGGGTTTCCTGCCTTTCCAGCTTCTAGAGACCCTCCCCTTCCTGGACCCTGGACACGAGGCCCCTCTTCCATGTTCAAAGCCGGCAGTGTTGAGGTGAGTCTTTCTCGTGCTGCCATCTCTCTGGTTCCATCTTCTGATCCATTTTGAAGGACCCATTTGATTACACTAGGCCCATCTGGACATTCCAGAATAATCTGCAATGTTAATTCTGCTTGGCCATGTACACTAATATGGTCACTCATTCTGGGGATTAGGACATCTTCCTGAGGGGTGGATGGAGGGGTTTATGCTGAAAATAGGCAAACAAAACAAAACAAAACACCCATCTGCATAAATAAATCCTTCACCACAAAATAAATGCCAAGCACCAAAAAGCGGCCAGGATGGTCAGAGAAAACGGGGCTCTCGTGCGTTAGTTACTGAACAAAGGTGGATCCTTACCTTGGTAGACCAGTCCCTGGGTAACGAGCATGCTTACAAGAGAAAAAGGCAGAGCTGTGAAACAAAAACGCCCTTCAGTGCTGGTGTTTCAGAACTTGGCACCTCACCCAGCAGTCAGGGAGAATTACTGAGTGTTTTCTCTCACCTACCTTGGCAATGACTATTTAGTCATTTGTTATTTTACTTACTCAACAAATACTTATTAAGTACCACCTGGAGATTTTTCCTGGGGTCTGCCCCAGGCACTGAACGTGATGTACAACTTTAATCTAACAAAACCTGAACCCTGTGGCATTCTGTCTCTGACATCCATGTCTCTGAATGCCCACCCTGCACCAGACTCTGATCACCATACACAACGCAGGCATCTCCGTGTGTGTGAGGACACGGGGCTGTTAAATTTGCGAGTTGCCTTTAACTGTATATTTTGAAATGTTCAATCCTACATGAAAGTAAAAACACCAGTACAATAAACTCCTGCATATCCTATCTAGGATATGCTTTTGTCTTTCATGACAGTTTGTTGCACAATTCGGATGTTTATTTTCCGAGGATTACAAGATTATTGCAGTCATGTTAAACATGGGCGATGTTTAGCTGTGATGATTAAAACAGGAAAGCTAGTCTGGCAAAGGCAGTTTCTGTCAAAATGTGTCAAATGACTTCTAAAAGTAGAGAGCAGTGATAAACATCTAGCTCTTCCTAGCAACCAAAACAAATTAAATTGCAACCAATTTTTCCACTCATATCAACCTGATGGTAGGTGAATGGGTCACATTGAAATATTAGTCTACTAGGACTTAATTAAATTACTTAGTCATAGGTTATCAGAAAAGACATGAATTGCTAGGGACACAGTCAATCGTCATAGTAATGCATAAGGAATATCAGCTTCTAAAGAATGTTTCTTCCAAAACAACTGATACTGAATTGGAAAGATCTGAGAAATCAAAATGAGTATTTCAAAGTAAAATGATCTCTATGTCAGCAATGGTGCAAATATTGGCCCTAGATCTATAGGCTCTATCATGACATTCTCAAATGACAAATCATGACTTTGTTTTTAATTGGAAGAGACCTCAAAGCACAGCCTGAATTCACAGCCATCTTTGTCTTATTTATCAGGTCGGAAAAGGAGATGACTCAGCAGAAAGGTTATTTCAGAGACATTGTATTCATGGATGCTGCCACTCTCCATTCAGTCCACGAGTATTGATTAGGTACTTTCTACGTGTGAAGCACCGTGCTTGGCTCTAGGATGAAGCAATAAACGACATTACTTCTGAACTCGATGAGGTTAGAGTCTAGTGGAATTTAGGAAGGTTTACTCTTTCAAGAAATTCTGAATAACACTCTTGGTACACATTCTGGGTCACATGATGGGAAGCATTATGTGCATATCACTTTGTGCTATGGTAAAGTGCTCCTAAATCACATATCATCTCTGCCCTCAAAGGGGTCTCAACCTGTATTTAAGCTCTAAACAGCTCAGATATCAAAGTTCTTCAAGGAATTATGCAAAGCCCCACTCACAAAGAAATCATTACCATAATTCTAATATGATACTCGGGCAGTTTATTGCAGCACATACAGTGTTAACGAAGGTGAAAAGGGTGCAATTTACCTCTCTTCCAGAAACTTTCTTCTTGACATTCTTTGATAATCTTTGAAATCTCTGCTCTGTGGATGTGCAGTTTTGATTTTGGACAAAACAACAGGCTCTGTAAGGAAAGTTCCACCATGAGTCGACTGAAATCATCAGAAAAGCATCTGCTGTGTTCTTGAAGAAGGGCAGGACAATTTCTTCACTGTGATCATGCAGCGTGGCGTCCTGTGCTGGCCGCCAGCACAGAGCAATGACTTGTTTCAGCGAGTGCCTTCCAACTGGGAATTGGGGGGACTTAGATGAGGAAATAATCCCAGTTGGAGAAGCAAAGAGTGACTCATCGAACAGCAAGCATGGAGCAGATATCTGGTCAGAAAAAATTCCTGCCGAGGCCACATTTTCTTCTTACCTCCAGCCGCTGCCCATGCAGTCTGTGATTCCTGCAATGCTACCACTCCCTTTGCCTTCCTGGTTTCCTCAGACCCAGTTCACTGTGGCCTCCTGGGCAAAGAGAGATTTCCCTACAGCACACTGTTGACACACCTGGGCTCACACTGGATGCAAGTTCTGTATTTATAGACCTGTATTCTAATTCAGCGTCAGGCTTCTGTATGCTTTTTAGACTAGGAACTCATCAGCAGACAGCTTTGTATTTTTCTACATAGTTTCCTTTCTATCTTGACAGTTTTTAAAACATATTTTATAAGTGATCTGTAAATAATTTCTGGTGGAACTACTGACATGTTTGACAAAATTACTTTTATGACTTTTTTTTTTTATCCTCACCTGAGGACATTTTTCAATTTTTTGTTCAGGTAGACTGGGAGGAAGAGAGAGGAAGAGAGAGAGAGAAAAACATCGACGTGAAAGGGACACATCGAGCGGCTGCCACTCGCACAACCAACCAGGGCCGGGGACAAACTGCCCTTAGTGGGAACCAACAGGCCAACGCTCTATCCGCTGAGCCAAACCGGCCAGGGAGACTTTTACAGTATTTTTTAAATCACGTTGTTATGCTACAATCTGGACTAGCTCCCATCTTTCATGATCTTCCTCCTTTGTAGAAATGTATTATTTACTCACTCTTATCCACATTCTCTGCTCTCATTCCCCTCTGCCCATCATCACCATTCTATGTGTTTAAATTTTTTTTCTTTATTGATATTTTAGAGAGAGAGAAAGGGAGAAGGAGAGAGAGATAGAAACATTGATGAGTGAGAACATCGACTGGCCCCCTCCTGCATGCCCTCCACTGGAGATTTAGCCCACAACCTGGGCATGTGCCCCAACTGGGAATGGAACCCGTGACCTCTTGGTGCATGGCTGACATGACACTCAACCACTGAGCCACACCGGCTGGGCCACTTTATTTGTTTAATGTGGAACTTCTGTGTGTATGCATTCTTGCAAAACGTTCATTGTTTTGGGTGCATGCATCTTTTAAATGTAAATTGTATTGTTTCATGTATTTAATTTCATTAAAAAAATATTTTCAACTCAACTCTATGCTTTTAAGATCCCCGTCCCCCCCCCCCCCCCCCCCCCCCCCCCGCGGCATTCATCTAGTTCACTGCTTCTAACTGTTGCGTAATTCTCCAGGATGCGCCTAGGTCACCACGCCACCTCGTGCTCCCTACCGCCCATGTGAGAACACTTTTCAGATATATGTCTAGAAGTAAAATGCAGGGCACGCATATTTCCAATCTACGTCTCGCTACGCTGCTCTCCCCGGGGGGCTGTGCCAGCCTCACTCCCACCAGCAGTGCCTGAATGTTCCTCTGGGCCCACAGAGCTTACACAAAGCTACTTAAACTGGATTCCAAACAGATTAGGTACAGAAAGGATTTTTTAACCTTGGCATTACCCAGTTTGCTAAGTTTTAACAGTCTAGTAGGTATAAAGTAATTATTTATTGTCTTATTTTCATTTCTCTGATAACTAATGTGTATGAGCATTTCTACATATTCTTCATCCAGACTGCCCCCTTCATCTCTAGTGTTGAGGTAATTAATCCCTGCAACTGGCCCTGGGCTATAAGCTCTTGTTATATGTTGGCTCATTAATTTTTTAATTGTGATAAGTACACATAACATAATGTTTATCATTTCAGGCATTTTATGTTTTTATTGATTTTTTAGAAAGAGGAAGGGAGAGAGAGATAGAAACACTGATATGAGAAACATCGACTGGCTGCCTCCTGCACAACCCCTACTGGGATCGAGCCCACAACGGGGCTTGTGCCCTGACGGGGAATGGAAGCGGGACCTCTCAGTCCATGGGATGATGCCGCTCAGTCCGCTAAGCCACACCGATCAGGCCCATTTTAGCCATTTGAAAGTACACAATTCAGTGACATTAAGTATGTCCACAATGTTGTGTGGCTGTCATGACTATCTAGTTCTAGAACTATTTCATCACCCCCAAAACAAACCTCATCCCCAATTAGGCAATCTTACTTCATTCCCTCTTCCCTTTAGCCCCCCGGCAACCACTAACTTGCTTTCTGTCTCCATGGATTTGTCTATTCTGTATACTTTATGTAAATGATACCATACAATAGATGACCTTTTGCGGCTGGCTTCTTTTCCTTAGCATAATGATTTCAAGGTTCATCCATGTTGTAGCATGAATCAAAACTTCATTCCTTTTTATGACTCAATATTCCATTGCAAGGACATACCACATTTTGTTTACCAATTCACCTACTGATGAATATTTGGGTTGCTTCCACCTTTTGACTGTTGTGAATAGAGCTGCTGTGAACATTCCTGCAAAAGTTTTTGTTTGAACACGTTTTTGATCCTGCTGAACCATATGGGAAAATTCTGATAAACTGCTGGAGGAACTGCCAAACTGTTTTCTGCATGTATCAAATGCAGAAGCTGCACATTTTATCAATACCACCAAAGTATGAAGGGTCCAGTTTCTCTACATCCTTGTCAGCACTTGTTATTTTCGGTTTTGTTTTTCTTTTTAATTATAGCAATGCTGGTGGGTGTAAAATGTTATCTCATTGTGGTTTTGATTTGCATTTCTCTAATGACTAATGATACTGAGCATCTTTTCATTTGCTTGTTGGACATTTATATATCTTCTTTGGAGAAATACCTATTCAAGTCCTTTGCCCACTTTTTAAGTGTGTAGTTTTTGTTGATGAGTTGTAAAAGCTCTTTATATATTCTGGATACTAGACTCTTATCAGATATATGATTTGAAAATATTTTTTTCCCATTCTGTGGGTGGTTCATCTGTTTTCTAAAAGCAAATTATATTTAATTTGTTCCTTACTAAAAAGTCACACTAGCTCAGCAGTTAGAGCATCGGCCTGTGGACCAAAGGGTCCTGGGTTTGATTCCAGTCAAGGGCACATACCTCAGTTGTGGTTCGTCCTTGGCCCTGGTTGGGGTCGTGTGGGTGGTAACCAATTGATGTGTCTCTCTCACATCGATGTTTCTCTCTCTCTCTCCCGTCCACTCTGTCTGAAGATAAATGTACAAATATCCTGCCCTGGCCAGTTTGGCTCAGCAGTTGGAGCGTCGGCCTGTGGTCCAGAGAGACCTGGGTTCGGTTCCCACTAGGGGCATGTACCTTGGTTGCAGTTTGTCCCTGGCCCTGGTTAGTTGCGCGGGTGGCAGCTGCTCGATGTGTCCCTTTCACGTCGATGTTTCTCTCTCTCTCTCTCTATTCCTCTCTCTCCCTCCCACTCTACCTGAACAAAAAATGGAAAAAAAAAAAAAGTACAAATATCCTTGGATGAGGAGTAAAAAAAAAAAGTCACACTAGTATTCCCTTGTTTGTAAATTATTTATATAGGTCCTCTGTCATTTACTGCTGGGAGTTTCAGTGTTTTTCTTGCTGAGGTGCAGCTCCTTGGCTTTTAAAGTTTACCTTGCTGATTTTGCCCATGTTTCTTTTTGGAATTCTTTCTTTATAGTAGATATCAATGTGGATAATGGTCATCATTTCTTGAGCACTTTCCCATGGGCTGGGCACTGTGCCAAGCACTTTACATGCTTGATAACAAGGTAGAAGCAACCTGTGGCATCTGTGCCCTCAGAGCTCCACAAACAACCTGAGCAGGCAAACTCTCTCTCCTTCTCCACAGCGCCTGGCGGCACAGTACCTGGGGGTGGTGGTCAGGGTGAGTCACGGCGACAAGAAGGAGCTGTTCTTACTCTCCACTTACCTTACTTCCTCAGCAAGCCCTCCTCCTTATCTCCATGTCAATGTCTCTTCTTGGTTCTGCCTGGGTTGAGGCAGGAATAAGGAACACCTTCCTTCCTCCCCTTCTCCAAATACACGCGCATACATATACACATCCAGGGTCGGGGACGCTGACTATTACAATAACCGGGAGTCCTGCAGTCAAGGTTGAAGCTCTGCAGCACCCTCCCCCACCCCACCCCAAGGAGCTCTAGCTAGCCTTTGTTTTATAACCATAAATGTTTCATGGTGCTCCATTTCACAAAGGCAACTCAGGTGTCTCACTACTTCTCCTTGTGACTTGAGATCCTTTGTCCTTTTGTCTCTCCTAATCTTTCCTCCTTAACCATCACCTCCTCTAGAAACTATTTTTAGTTTGAAAAGTTGATCCCAGAGAACATGAATTACATTTACCCATCAAAATACTTTCTCTTTTCTTCATTTATGTATCTCTGAAACTCATGGTATTCATTCTCAAGAAGTTGAAAAGTTGGGTTCTCAGTCTGATAGCTAATTTAGTAGTTAAGATTCTGCTCTCCTAAACAGGAATACTGGTCAGTAACATAGATTTAGTAAGGTTAGCCTTGGTAATAAAAATGTAAAAACAAGCATCATGTATCATTCTGTTAGGTTCAATTAAAAGTTTTGCCCTGCTATGGGAAAACTCTTCAGTCATTAACAGCCTATGTAAGAGTTGGTTAAGCTGGTTGCTAAACAGGGAAGAGTAAAGAAAGGATTTTGTAAATAAAAATTTATTATGATTATTATTTTATCCTCTCCCAAGGACATTTTTCGATATTTTGTTCAGATAGAGTGGGAGGGAGAGAGAGAGAGAGAAACATCGACGTGACAGGGACACATCAAGTGTCTGCCACCTGCATGACCCAACCAGGGCCGGGGACAAACTGCAACTGAGGTACGTGCCCTTAGTGGGAACCGAACCTGGGTCTCTCTAGACTGCAGACCAAAGCTCTAACCGCTGAGCACAACTGGCCAGAGCTGTAAATAAAAATTTAAAATATGCATTTCAAGGCAGTCAAAAACACATTTTTCTTCCTCATTCTATTTTCCCTGAACCCATCCAACAAAGTGCCAGATTGAAAAAAGTCAGATGACTGGTCAAGGGTGAGGTTTAAGGAAAGTCTGGTATGTTCCTCCTCAGATGGTAAACTGAAAACACACCTGCTTGCTTAGTGGTGGCAAATGAGGTTTGTCTTGGTTTCCATGAGTGGACGCGGACGCCATGATGCCTTGCTTCTCTTCTAGCCGTGTGGACTCAGTTTACTTGCTGTCCTGATGTCTGAGGAAAATAGAAGAGTCACTGCGTTGTGACTGAACGTTCCTATCAACCCTGGTTATCAACTCACGGATCTGGAAAACTTGTTTTCATTTTGTCATTAGTCAATTTCCAACCATCTGCCAAATTACTTTCTAATGCTTCTCCCCCACCAACACACACAAATATAAAATGTCACACTATGAACAGTAAAATGTTTTATTACCTATAAATGGTGTCCTAAAATGAGTTTGAATTATTTACAAGATCATTAACTACACAAATATTTACTAAATGTCTGTCTGTTATGTGCCAGGCCAGGGGCTATAAGGAAGGATAAGGCAAACTCAGTGTTACAGGAGCTCACAGTGGAAAGGAAAAGTCAAACAAGTCAGCAGTTACAAGCATGCCGAGGGCTCCCTAGCACTAGCCATGCCAGGGTGCTAAGGAAGGAGAGGAAGAAAGGTCTGGTCTCTCTGGTCAGGTCTGAGACACCAAAGACTAGGACTCTTGAGCTTATAGAGGGTGGATGGACTCCCCAGCATAAAAACCAGTTGCAAAGGTGCTGTAATAGCCCAGGCAAGGAAGTGTAGAGACCTGAACCAACACCCTCGTGGGAAACGCAGAGATGATATATTTGAGTTTGAAAATTTTGAATTTGGGTGCCTGTGGGTGCACACATTGGAATTAGCCAATAGAGATCAGAATATTTGAAGATTTGGGTCTGGAGTTAGAAATTAGGGGGAGGCTGGAAAGATGAATTTCGAAGTTGCCATCATAGAAATGATAGGTGAAGCAAGAAACAGATAAAATCGTCTAAACAGAGTAACAGAGAATGTGAACATTGAGGGCAAAGGAATATGAACAGGAGAAGAAAAGAAAAAGACCAAGGAAATGGCTGAAAAGGAATCCAGTACAGAGGGGAGGGAAGGAAAGAGGGAATGAATCACGGGTGTCACATGGCTCAGAAAAGTGATTTGGCAATGATGGACGTAGACCAGGTGACCATGGGTCATCAGTGTACACCTAAGCAAACCTCTGAGGGTCTTGCCTTCCAGGTGCAGCTCCCACCACTAGACCCGGGTCTGATTTGGGGTCTTTCTGCTTCTTCAGTGGGTGGGGGTGGTGGTGGTGGTGGTGGGATGCTGACAGGTAGACAGTGGGGGTAGGTAGGCAGCAGGATGGGGTGGGGGGCACGAGTGGTCAAAGGGACAGCCAGAGAGGGTCACCTCAATCTCTGGGAGTGGGGGATGGGTTAAGCCCAGAATCAATCTGCCGGAATCCACAGCCAACCCCTGTCGGGGGCCACCTGCACAACCCCAAGCCCTTCGACCTCATCTAGGTCGCAGCCCGAGGCTGAGCAAAGCGGCGAGGAGTTGGCAGCGGCCACTCTACGGCCTCTGCCGACCTGCGCGGCCAGAGCGGTCTGGCCTCTGCCGACCCGGCGGCCAGAGCGGTCTGCAAATACCCAGCTTCCAAGGACCCCGGGATAAAGCGGCCAGAGGAGGCCACCTTCTCGCCATCTCTGCGGGGTCGACCCGGGCGGGCTCACCTGCAACGTGAAGATCGCCTGCCAGGCCCGCGGCTCCCGCGCCCACCCGCAGAGCGGAGCTCGCCTCCCTGGCCGCTGCGGCTGCAGCCGGGACCGCTGCCCGCCTCCCGCGCCCCTGCCCTCCGCCCGGAGCCCAGGCCCCTCACCTCTGTCTCCCCGCCGCCCTCACTTCTCGCAGCTCTCCTCTAGCCTTCTCCTTCCTCCTCTCGCTCCGCCCCCTCCGCTGCTGCTTCTCACTCGCCCAAGTCGCTGGGTGAGTGCACCCCTATTCCCCTAGCAGTCCCTTCCTCGGCCCGCTGGTCCCCGAAACTCCCACCCCCTCCCAAGAGTTGTCCTGATGCCTGGTAGGTCCTACCTCCTCGATGCCTTTCTAAGAACCCCTTTCCTCCCATCAACAAAGAAACAGTTACCGGACACCTTCCTTGAATTTGGCATGGACTTCACTTATCTGCAATCCTTTTTTTTTTTTTGAGATATAATTGACATATAACATTATATTAGTTTTAGGTGTACAACATAACAATTCCATATTTGTATACACTGCAAAATGATCACCACAATAAGTCTAGTTAACATCTAGCATACATAATCACCTAGTTCCCCCAATTTTCCCCTCCTTGAGATAAGGACACTTAAGATCTACTCTCTAGCAGCTTTCAATATGTAATACAGTATTAACTATAGTCACCATGCTGCACACGACATCCTCATGATTGATTTATTCTGTGGCTGGAAGTCTGTATCTTTTGACTCCCTTCACCCATTTCACCCACCCCCATGCAACCCTTTTTACAACCCTTTAGGGTGAGTACTATTATCTTCGTTTGATGGACCAGAAACGGAGTTGTGAAAGGCCACACTGGGAGTGTGCAGTCAAAGCCAAGTCAGCTTTCTCTTTCCACAAGTCCGTTCTCCAGCCCCTGCCAATCCCAGCCTCTGACATGTGGGGGAAGTGCTGGTGCCTCCACCTATTTTGAGCTGGAAGAGAGGTTGTGGACCACGTGGAAGGCCCTCATCCTTTCTCACCTTTTCCTACTGTTGACACTGGCCTCTGTGTCTCTTGCCTCGGCTGCTCCACAGTGTGCACCCTTCACTGGCACCACCTGGCCGCCTTGCTGCTCCTCATGGTCACCCGGCTTCGACCTGAGCCCTGGCTTGAAACCTCCCCCTGCCTGGGGTCCCCTCCCCATCAGTCTTGTCCTGGCTTTTTCCTACTCATCCTTCTCCGACGCTCCTCAGGAAGACCTGCCTTGACCTCCCCTTCCCGCCCCCAGCCTAGGGTAGGGCTCTCTTCTGAGGTTCATAGCTGGATGCTCTGCTGTCTTCTTTCGCAGCACCTATTGTAAGTCGTCATTACGTACTTGCCAGGGCGTCTGCTTCAAGCCTGTTTTCTCTGCTTCAGGGTAATCTTCATGAGCTAGAGTACAAGATGGTGTTGTGTTCAGGGTTGTACACATGGCATCCCAGATACAGGAGGGGCTCAATTAATAGCAGTTGAATAAATGAACAAGTGAGCCTGGATTTAAGGCTGATTGTCAAGATAGTGTTGTTTTGGAGGATCCACGTTCCCTAGTACCACCTGCCCCCAGACCACGTTCCTCCAGGTGATTCTCTGGTTTCCTTCCCCTCCCCCTGCCCCCACCAAGCAAAAGGGGGTATAGTTCTGCTAATTTTACATTGTGTTACCAGATGTCAGAAATAACCCCCTGCCATTTTGTAGTCTCAGTCCCTTTCTCATTGGTTTTGTTGTTAAAATGAACAGTCCTCCGTAACATAGATGGCTAACTTATAACAAATACCCCAAGGACATTTAACATCCTACTGCAATAAAGTCCATGTCCCCACCCTCATTTCTACTATCTATCAGAATGTTCCAGTTAATTGTCTCAAATAACTAGAAGTTAGGACTATATAATAGACACAGATTATGTGAATTCATCACTTGGTATTTGTTGGACAAATCTGATATGCCCATGTATTGGTCCAGGCATTTTCAGAAATAAGAGAAAAAAGACAAGGGTTCTTCCCTCAAAGAATTTATCACTTCCCAAAGAATGAAAATAAAATAAAATTTACTTAGCTGCAGAAGTATATAACTATGAACAGAGCCTTTCTTAGGCTTTGCTGTAGCTTCCTACAGGGCCTCAGGGTCATGACCACGAAGTTGATTATTGTTGGCTAATGCTATGAAAAATGTGGCTCATTTAGTGCCAAAGTGTTCATGGCAGGCTCCAGCTTGAATTATGTCCATAGACCTGTACTGTCCTCCGGCTAGATCCAAATTCATTATCCGGGCCCTGCATGATTCAGCTCCTGCCTGCCTCTCCAAGACATCTATCTTGGACCCTCCAGGGGCCCTACCCAGTGGCTGAGGTTCTTCCTTCTCATGCTTTTGCCTCTGCTGGAGCTTCGATCTTCCTCTGCTTCTCCAGCCCTCGCTCTCTCATTCTGAGACAGGTACAGAAGCTTGGACAGCAAAGGAGGGGAAGAGACGCACACACACAGTTTGGGGGAGGCGAGAGAATACTATATCGGTGGCTGGCTGAAGACCAGGCCCTAGTGGGGAATGCAGGTAGGAATCTAGATCACGGCCACAGGGAGCTCTGGACTCACAACCACCCCTTCCCTGCTGGGGAAAAGGGGCTCTGGCTGATTTCCTGGTGGGGTGGTTTCCTGGTGTGTGTTTGGGGAGGGGGGTGTCTTGGTGGCCAGTGACGCTCTCACTCTCCTGCCATCTTTTCTTGGCCCAGCTCTCCCCTTGCCATCTGCCAGCTCTGTGAGAGGCTCTGTGAATCAAAAATCTCGTGAGTCACGCATTGCCTCTCTGAAGAGTAAATAATGTCAACGCCCACAAAAGCAGAGCAGTCGGTATAAATGAGGTGACACTCACAGACTGAGCTCGGGGTCTGCTTTCCTTCACGTGCTGGCACCGCTGACATGGGAGGCATGTTGCCAGCTCAGCTGAAGCTTCTGGGCCATTGATCCAGGGCCCTGGCTGCTTTAGGTTCATCTGGATTTGATATTCAGATGCCAGACTCAGCAAGAGGCAAAGCAGGCCCAAAGGGCATGATTTCAGCCCAAATGGGGAAACTCTGAACTATGAAGACGAGTATACGTTGATTTGGTTGTGTCTCCAGTCTTCCTTGGGACGGGCCTAGCCTTCATTTCACTCACGAATGTGGCTAACAGACATCCTGAAAGAAACTCTAGTGCTTGAATAGTCCAGAGCTGCTTGCCGTAGTCTACAGCATGCGAAGCCCTTTGAATACATGAAACACAATGCACCTGAAGTAGAGAGAATGGGTCAAGCAGAGACCGTATTATCTTGTGGCAGATACTTTGACCTCATTCCTAACGAATGTTATTATATTTGTTTTCTGGTGTCTCTCCCACGCCTGTCTCTGGAGCAGCCTCCCCACCTGGCTAGAGGCAGGGTGGGAGAAAAGCAATTTGATTTTCTGATTAAAAAAAACAAAAAAACAAAAACCACTCACAATGGGGTGTAAATCCCAGCACAGATCTAGCTCCTTGGAGGATATTAATTTAATTAAATTTTTTTTTTCTTTATTGATTTTAGAGAAAGAGGAAGGGGGAGAGAGATAGAAACATCGATGAGAGAGAACATCGACTGGTCGCCTCCTGCATGCCCCCCACTGGGGATTTGGCCTACGACCTGGGCATGTGCCGTGACCAGGAATCGAACCTGTGACCTCTTGGTGCATGGGTCAACACTCAACCACTGAGCCACACCGGCTGGGCCATTAATTTCATTTGAGAAGAAAGGCTTATAAATCAAAATCTAATTGGTAGAAAGTTGGGTAAGACTTACCTTTTTTAAACAGACTTTCTTTTTTAAAGCAGTTTTAGATTCACAGAAAAATTGAGAGGAGGGTACAGAGCTTTCCGATAGCCCCTTCCCTTCCACTCCTGCAGAGCTTCCCCATTACCAACATTCCCCACTCGAGTGGTATATTTCTGACAACTGATGAACCCTCACAGGCACATCATTATCACCCAGTCCATAGTTAACATTAATTTTCACTCTTGGTGTTCACTCTGTGGGTTTGGACAAAAGTACAGTGACATGTATCCATCATTATAGTATCATACAGAGTAGTTTCACTCACTGCCCTAAAAGTCCTCTGTGCTTTGTCTATTCACCACCACTACCACCACCCTGACACCACCCTCACCCCACATCCACTAATCTTTTTAATGTCTCCATAGTTTTACCTTTTCCAGAATGTCATCTAATTGGAATCATATGGTATGTAGCCTTTTTGGAGTTGCTTTTACTTTGTAATATGCATTTAAGGTCCCTCCATGTCTTTCCCTGGCTTGATAGCTCATTTCTTTGTAGTGCTGAATAATATCCCATATCCGGACGTACCACAGTTTATTTATCATTCATCTACTGAAGGACACAGCTTGGTTGCCTCAAAGTTTTGGCAATTATGAATAAAATTGTTATGAACACCTGTGTGCAGGTTTTGTGGACATAAGTTTTCAACTCCTTTGGGTAAATACCAAGGAGCATGATTTCTGGTCATATGGTAAGAGTATGTGTAGTTGGTAAGAAACTGCCAGACCGTCTTCCAAAGTGGCTGTGCCATTTTGCATTCCCACCAGCAATGAGTGAGAGTTTCTGTTGCTCCACATTCCTGCCAGCGTCTGCTGTTGTCAGTGGAGATTTTTACTTTTGAGAGGAATTTTCTGGAATCCCTGCATTACCCTAGGCAGCCCTGCTCACCCAATCCACTTGCTTCAGCATTAGGGAAGCAAGTGTCAGTCCTCGGTGGTGCACTTCTGAAGGGTTGTTGGAGCTTTAGCTGCACCTGTTTCCGGCAGAATAACTCTAACTTTCCTCTCCATGGCATCTCCCAGGGCACCTCCACACGTGTCCATCCTAACTGTGTCACCCACAGACACCTACACTCTTTGGTGGCAAGCTCATACTTACTCTTCAGGTCTCAATGGAGACAGCTGTAGAGATTAGGAATTTAGGGCATGGGCTCTGGAACCAGATGACTTGGGTTCCCATGATAGCCCCGCTGTAAATCTATAGCTATGTCCATATAAATAATTGCTTAAAACAGTGCCTGGCACATAGCTAGGCAGTGCTGCTTAAGTGTTCATTACCACTTTCTCCAGAAAAGCCCTCCCTAGCCTCTGGGGCAGGGATCCTCCTGTGTGCTC